ACCATGGGTAGCATCCTAATTGTCTGCTTGGCCGCAGCATCGACGTCTATGACTGTAGAGGCCAATGCGCGAGTGACAATCTCTGTTGCAGGTCATTTGAAGCTATCATTTTGCTTTTTGCGGACCCGCCTTTACGTGGTGACATGTGTCAGCTTCTCCTCCTCTGACTTGAGGGGTTTGGTCAGGGGTCCTATACGGAACCGTCATATAGCCTGAGGTGCATTAACCAATTCATTAAATATTTGTCGGACTTTGTCCATTTCATAATGTGTGACGTCATTTGTTTAGATTTGGATACGCTTTAAGCAGATATGAATGTACGTGAGAGATTCATGGAAGATTGTAGTTTAAAAGCAGTAAATTCGACCTTTCTAACCGAACGATCCTCTGTGGCCAAATCGGTTTAGGCACGTCAGGCTATATGACGGTTCCGTATAGGATACAGGTTCGATTCCTGTCGGAGGACGAATATTTTCTATGAAAATCTCTCGAACATTCAGGCCGGTAAATATTATTAATACTGTTTATTATAAGCAGAGCATTTACTTAAATATTTGTATCTATAAAAAAGAATGTATAAACATAAAAATGTCTTAAAAATTTCAAGTAATATATATATATATATATATATATATATATATATATATATATGATGGATCTGGCAGCATTTTCGGTCTGTTTTTGTCGTCAGATAGCATTGCATACATGTATTTTTATATCTTTATTTTTTTTATTTGTTTTTCGTTTTAAGTTATTTTATCAAAAGCGTTGCTTATGAGAAGACATCTCCCATATTGCTGATATAGCGGCTATTACAGTCAGATCAGCTCGCATCCGTTTCCTAAAATGTTGTCTGAAACGTTAGGTTTGGTCTGTTGTTGTATGGCATGAGACGCGTTTAGTTATTTATTTTTCTTTTTTTTTAATAATCAACATTGGAAAAAGATCTCTTTTGACTATATTTTGATAGCTGTAATATCAGAGCACACTTCTAGTTTCCAGGCAAATTTGATCTTTAAAAATTTAAATGCAATATCAATCGTTATCTTCTCTTTCCCGTTCTTTTATTGTTCCATGTACTTCATATTTTTTTTCTTTTTAACGAATTCTTTCACACTCAGTAGCCCATTGAGTCTTAGAGGTTTTATTGTCTTGCTTTAGGGTGAAATGATAAAAGAAAATTAAGTTTAAGGTCTGCAAATTTCGTTCTGATATTTAACCTGAAGGAAAATAATGAATTTCCGGTATATTACCCTTCTTTATTTTAAGAAACGCAAACATTCGAAGACATTTCTATGGATGATCGAGCATGCAACAAATGATTTACATGATAGCGATTTTTCACTGAAAGATTCTCCAAGGATGTAATCCAAGAAGCTAATATAAATATATATATATATATATATATATATATATATATATATATATATATGAAAATTTCTCCGATTTAATCGGTAGAAAGACAATATTTATGAATAAAAATGACAATAGGAAAACTATCAAAAATGACGCGTTTTGTCCATTTCGATTTTTTGATAAAGTCCACATTGGACGAAACGCGTCAGCAATTGGTAAAGTTTTCCTATTGTCATTTTTATTCATAAATATATATATATATATATATATATATATATATATATACTGACTCTCCTGTCGAATTCGACGTATGAGGGTCAAGCAGATAAGTTCCTAGGAAACCGACAGCCCGACAACAGCACATGAGATTTGATTATAGTGGTGAAGGTTTGTGCAGGACCATCCACACTTTTTTGAAGGGCCGAATACAGAGACCTGGTGCACTACGTGCCACAAGGTCCCCAAAGGACCCTTCGCAGGTTTTGAATTCAGAGTTGTCCTTCTCCTAGACCAGTTGCCATCCAAGGCTATAGAACCCAGTCTGTCCTGCTATTTATCTGGAGGCTGAAGATGAGGATTCACACATTTCCCAAGGAAAGTAAGTGAATGCAATGGATTCGACTGGAATTCGAAATCGGCTCTCCGATTCCTCAATCCAAGCCGCAATCCATTACCCCACCGTGCCTCCTCCTCCTCCTCCTCCTCTCTCTCTCTCTCTCTCTATATATATATATATATATATATATATATATACATTCAAGTCAACAACTAGAGACGACAGTCTGTTTAATGCTAAACGCAATGTTCCGAACATCAATGTCTACTTTTGTATTTACATACGCTCTATCCTTGATACTGAGCACTTTAACCCATAAATATAGTATACCTTAAAACTATATTTTATCATATATATATATATATATATATATATATATATATATATATATATATATATATTATATATTGTATATTTGGGCAGCAATCCCTCTAACAAGGTACTGCAATTAAGCATTTCATTCAATTTTTCTTGAATTTTACGTGCATACACACAGATATATATATATATATATATATATATATATATATATATATATATATATAATACATGTCTCATTAAATAATTTAGACAACTTTTGTTTTAACTTCACAAGTAACATAATTTAATTTTGCGATGAGCACTCAATTTTGTCTTAGCAAAAGTAGGACCGGGAAGATGACATTGTGCTAATGTCGAAAGTTACTCAGGAATAAAATGTATATACATCTAGATGGTAATTTTCTTTCTTGCTTTAATAACGATACAAAGAAACTCTTCCGTAAATATGAGAGGATCCTATTAAGAATAAGCAGACAAAAACGTTTCTAAATTATTTAATGTAACATGTCTTAATGAAAATATGCTGCCAAAATATACGCAGTATATATATATATATATATATATATATATATATATATATATATACAGTATACTTCCCCGTACAAGACGTCTTTACATGTCAAAAGTTACCCCTAAAAATATGGTTTCGTTTATTACAACAGCTAGAAAAAGCTAACCTTAAATCATGTGGTGTATCGGCACTAGTAAGTAGGCTAGTATGTTTGCACCATGGATCGTGGTAGGCTAACAACTGCCTCGGTTTGGTAACTACCGATGTAGATAATTCTAGTTGAAATAATTCATCTTATAATGCTGTACCTAAGTTATAAATGTAATAAAACTACTTCTTGATTTCACATTAAAATGCAATATTCAAGAGACGATTACACAACCATTTACAAAAGTTCCACTAAGTAACACCCACAAATAACAAGTAACGTAAACAAATCTTTTATTCTTGGTTTGTAGAGATATATCTACATTCACACCAATTATTATTTTTCATAGTAGTGTTAAATAAAAACATTTCAGATAACATGCAATCTATATTTCTAATTAAAATTCAAATTCAAATCCATTATACTTGTGGTGTGAAATAACAACATTTAATATAATATGCAAACTTTATAATACATTATACGGTATATTTTTTGAGATATTAAGCAACAAGACATTTAGGATGCCATAAAATCTTTATTTCTCATTACAGAATAAAAAAATATATAATTAAACTCTTCAAAATTACTATGATCATCACCATCTGGTACTAAGAGCTCATCATAAACATCGTCATTTACAGTTTCGTCATAAGTCGGTCGTCTTATAATCCGTATATCAGATAACATCACGAACATTTACCTAGATTTTGAGTTTCGTCCTATCTACAGCATGTGATGGGTAAATTTTCACCATTTTATATTTTTAATTTTGCGCATGCGCGTTGTTTGTTTTTGATTTTGTCGACTGCACAGTATAGTAAGTTCATTTGGACCCCGTCTGTGAAAAAAAAAAAAAAAAAGAAAAAAACGATCACCATGACGCAATTCACTCCGCCAGAAATTTGGAAATTGCATGCTTTACGGTTTGGGTTTTAATCTGAGGACAGTGCAGAAGATTTGGAAAGAGTTGAATGAGTCTAATGGTGATTGTAAAGGTGTTTGGAGTGATCACTATTGATGGCGACGTTATGTCTCCATTCATCTTCCCACTCTCAGACTAAACACGGAGGTCAACATCAAATGCCTTGAAGAGTTAGTCAAAACTGTGGCCGATGGGAGATCCTATGTGCAGTAACAGGACTCTGCACTATGCCTCAGAAAAAGGAGAACCCAGTCATGGCTGTCAGACATTTTCTGTGACCATATTACCCCTTATATCTGGCCACCTAACTCCCCAGATTGCACACCCTTTTATTATTACGTGTGAGGCAAGGTTGCGCAGGACACCAACAAAAATCCTTGTAACACCAAAGATGAACTGTAGGCAAAGATAATACAGCATTGCACAACTTAATCAATGCGACTATCTAGAAGAGCTGCAGGAGATTCCGAAGTCGTCTGGGGCCGTGGTTGAAGCCAATGGCGATTTTATTGAATCAATTTACTCTAGTATTTCAAGATATTTCTGTATAATTTTGGTAGACTAACTGAAGATCGAAATCGTTTTCTTAAGTTGAGTGATCGTTCTTGAAACTAGAACTATTAAAGACGCTAGAGGGCGTGCCATTGGCTAATTATACAGTCGCTACTATTCGCGATGACGGTCAGTTCATTTTGACTGGCTGCAGATCACGTGACTATCGATGATCGAGCGCGTCAGCTCAAAGGGGGGATCAGGGATTAACAGTTACTTGTTGCTTTTGGAGTGGCTATATCCATAAGCACATCCCAGGAATCGAACCCGTGTTAAAACCAACAAAACTTGACCCGTACTTGACGGTATATATATATTTCGTCAGCGTTGACACGAGTTCGATCCCTGGAATGTGCATCTTAATACCGCCACACCAAAAGCAACTTAGTAACTGTACAATTTATGATACCCTGTAGGTAGGAAAATAAATGAGGGAGTGTGTGTGTGTGTGAGAGAGAGAGGGGGGGAATGTTATGCTTCCAGCAAAAAAAAAAAATCACATTTTTTATTTAAACATAGCTGCATGAAAAACAACAGAGTCTTGGCTTTTCTTATTTCTTATATTTTCTTTTTCATTTCATTCTATCTTTTATTTCGTTATTTTTTTTTTTTCCCATTCTTTCATCTTGTTTACCTCTTCGGGATGGACCCCAGGTGTGCAGTGAGGACTTTGTCGGCGTATTCACTAACGATTTTCATTACAGACTGACTGTTGGCCGGCAGATAATTTAGGCATCAAAGTTCAGGGAAAAGCTGATTCCTCGGCGTTCCCAAGGCGAGATCATTTGTCAAGAGATCGCTCTCCCATTGCATTAAATTCTTCGGTAAAAACAACCAGCAAAGATTTCAAAAGAGCAGCCGACAACAGGAACTTCGTTGAAAAGCGAAAGTACCTCGCGTTTAGAAACACACACACACACACACACACACACACACACACACACACACACACACACACACACATATAAACACGCACATATGTGTGTGTTTGTGTTTAGGCAGCAAATTCTCTTTTAGGCATTTCTGAATAAATTACAAAGATTATGCCTGCTTATTTTGATCATAATCCTTTTCATATTTAAACGTAAAAGAAAAATAATCAGTAAAGGGTAGCTACACATATTTTTTTGCCTTACCAATTGCACCCCTGATAATGATCTCAGAAAGAGATGGAAAGTACTTCGGAAATAAAAGGGATACTCACTGTTAGAGCGTATTTCATGCCTCATTCAATTGTAATATACGGAAAAATATTCGTGAATATGAAAGGATTATGTTAAAAATAAGCAGACATAATGTTTGTAATTTATTCAATCAGACATAAATATATAGTACCCTGACGATCCGTTAGGTGAAAACTTGGTAGGTAGATTCTGGCTCATTAGGTTTTCATATATATATATATATATATATATATATATATATATATATATATATATGAGCATTTCACCTCAAGCAAGCCGGTAATGCTACTAGTATGCAATGGGGGGGTGCAGAGAGTGAAAGTAAGAGTATATTAGGTCTAGGGGGATTGATGAGACGATAAAAAGAAAAAACGCGGATCAAGCAATAGAAGATGTCGATTGACATTACATTTAAATTTTTGAGGATTATAGTTATCAGGGAAGCAAGTAAGAAGAAGGGAATATATATATATCTGAATAAGGTATATTTATATGATAAGTATCCATCCAAACAACTTTGATTAAAAAGAGCTGACAAGCTCTGTCTGTTTAATTTTTAATTATATTTTTCCAATTTTTTTCAATTGCTTTTGACCGTCTCAGTTGTTTTCAAAAAATGGTGTGGCCATTAGAGTAACAGGATGTAGACAAAGGAATTCTGCCTCGCATAGGCACACCTGTCTGTCATCTAATGTTTAAAAATGTATTTATTATACACAGCAGATATTTATTTAACAACACAATCACCTTGGTTATCAGTTTAATTAAACGTAAATCAGTCACTGATATTCAACGCATCTATCAAATATTATACAGTGAAAGAAATTCAGATAATAACGATCTGTGTGCGAGGCTACACAATTATTAATCCACTCTATGTGCTGGGTATATCTATATGCACATAATTTCCATATATATTTTTTATTATATATATATATATATATATATATATATATATATATATATATATATATATATATATATATATGTGTGTGTGTGTGTCTATGTGCGTATATATATATATATATATATATATATATATATATATATATATATGTGTGTGTGTGTGTGTGTGTGTGTGTGTAAATGTAAGTAGGTATGTATATTAAAACATAAAGAAAACGGAGGGGAAGCTTTTTGATCTCAAGGTAAGTAAACTAGAATACAGAAAAATGTTTTCCGGCCAATTAGTATTTTCTTTTTAGATTAAATATCAAAGAAGCAACCCTCTCTCTCTTTCTTTCTTTCTTTCTTTCTTTCTTTCTTTCTTTCTTTCTCTTTTTCTCTCACACCCGCTCGCACAAACACACAACAAAAACAAACGCACGCGCAATATATATATATATATATATATATATATATATGTTTGTTTGTTTATTTTTGGTTTTGTGTGTGTGTGAGTGTGCGCGCGCGCACGTGTGTGTGTGTGTGTGTGTGTGTGTGTGTGTGTGTGTGTGCGTGTGTACACACCCGAATGTACGTGATCTTGTGCCAAAAGTAAAATAATGAATTATATGTTAAGTTGTTGCTAAATCGTTCATCACCATGTTTTGGATCATGTTAGCGAAATCTTAAAAATGTCATATCTGTTGTACACTTAGATAATTGGAGTATTGTGTTTACAAACCATAAGGAAAATTGCATTATGGCGTATAAAACCCGTAAGGAAAATTGGACAATGGTGTGAATACCCTGTACAGATTATTGGAGTATAGCGTTTATAGACTGTAAGAAAAATTGGACGATGACATTTATGCACGATTTTTCTTCGGTAGGGCTAATTCTGCAATCTTTGTTACGACGTCCTGACCGCTGTGCACATGGGTGTTTCAGAAATTGGGCTTGACGTGTTGTTTTCCACCTATACCCGGGATAATTCTTTAAGAGATTCAATTAAAAAACAAAAAAAAAAACAACCCTCAGAACTATGGTAGTCTACAAGAAACATTTTACGGGTGAAAATGTCTTCTATCAAAAATAGAAAAAAAAAAAAAACTTTTGTAATGATCCGGTAGAAATGAATATTCTAAATTTGTACAGTGTAACCCGGATATAAGAGAAACCCGGATACAAGAGAGATTTTCTCTGGTCCCAAATTAGAGCCTGTGTTAATGTATATAAAATAGACCAAACCCGGATATAAGAGAAACCCGGATATAAGAGACTTCTTCTCCGGTCCCGACAACTCCCTTATATCCGGGTTACACTGTATATCCAGCTTTAAATCAGTCAACCATTTTGAATATTTAATGAAGCCAGACGAACTAATTTGCATAAGTCTCAGTTGGTTCTTGTTAAATTATATGCTATTTAGAAAATGTATATTTTATAAGGTGTCTTCTTAAAAGATAAGGAGACCTTCTTCTGAAGAATCACTACTTTTCTGAAACAAACTCCCGCGTGGTTATTTCCCCGAACACTGAAATCCTAACCTATTCACGTCGAAGTTCAATCCTTATCTATCCGCCATATCTTCCTCCTACTTCCTCCTCTTAAGTTCTTACCTCGCATATTATTCAGTAACTGTATACTTTTAGAGTTAATTAAACTATTTTTGGAGTAAATTATAGTAGTAGAAAAAAAAAAACAGTTTTCTCTGCTATTTAACCCATATCTGGTGGGGTGGAGAAGAGATAACTTTATACCTATTCCAATAGTATTTTTGCGAATGATGACACAATAGCTCCGGCTGGATATTGAACTAGGTTCGCCAGTTTCACTTCTAGCACCGGTAACTCAATATCTATCTCGCCCAACTTAAAGTATTCATTGAATCGCAAGTAGCAGGCGTTTTTGAAAGAAATAAGGTAGATTTTAAATAATTCTTATCGTGGGAGAATTGAACATAAATTTCTCAACAATAACATATTTCTATTTCGTTACAACAACCAAAACATTGCCCTTGGAATTATTATATATGCCTCAATTAATTGGCGAAATAGAATATTTAATGAAGTTAGACGTATATATCACGGTTGGCTCTTGTTGGCGTAGAGTATAAGCTTTCAAACGAGATTGCGTGAATGGATGGAGGGACAGAGGGGAGGAAGATTTAGAAAAGGGAGAAAACTGCTAAAAGTCACAGGACATAGAAAGTTGTGGAGAGCCATGATCGCCTATGTTCTGAATGGACGTGGTACATAGAAGAACGAGATAGAAAGTTGTGGAGAGCCATGAATGCCTATGTTTTGACCTGACACGGCACATAGGAGAAGAACGAGATAGAAAGTTGTGGAGAGCCATGATCGCCTATGTTTTGACCTGACACGGCACATAGGGAGAAGAACGAGATAGAAAGTTGTGGAGAGCCATGATCGCCTATGTTTGACCTGACACGGCACATAGGAGAAGAACGAGATAGAAAGTTGTGGAGAGCCATGATCGCCTATGTTTTGACCTGACACGGCACATAGGAGAAGAACGAGATAGAAAGTTGTGGAGAGCCATGATCGCCTATGTTTTGACCTGACACGGCACATAGGAGAAGAACGAGATAGAAAGTTGTGGAGAGCCATGATCGCCTATGTTTTGACCTGACACGGCACATAGGAGAAGAACGAGATAGAAAGTTGTGGAGAGCCATGATCGCCTATGTTATGACCTGACACGGCACATAGAAAACGAAAAAGTACGAGATAGAAAGTTGTGGAGAGCTATGCTCGCTATGTCCTGAAGAGGTGCTGTACATACAAGAAGCTGAACGAAATAAAAATTTGTGGAGAGCCATGATCGCCTATGTTTTGACGGGACTAGATAGAAAGTTACGAAGAGTCATGATCGGATTTGATCTGGCCGGGTGGTTAGAACGTTCAATTTCTGATCATGAGTCCCGGATTTGAGTCTTACCATGGACGATTCTTTAGGGAGATGACTTTTTGATGTGATTGGACTGAATTGGAGACGAACCCAGCGCCTGGCATCTTTGGGAAGTGCTTGAAAACAACATCACGGATTGATCCAACCCGTGTTAGTCGAAATTGGGTGGACAGAACTGTTCAGACGCTCTCGCTGGCACGCACTGTCCTCTTTCAAAAAATTGATCACATCATACTATGCACTCTCTCGCAGAAGCTGTAACTAAGGTCTGCTCAGCACATTTCCAGTATACACTGCGTGCCAAATTATTATCGAGATAACTTTTTTCTTATATTTCAAAAACCGTCTAATCAATTCACACAAAATTTGCATACAATGTTGGCAACACTGAGCTGCGCAATCACTGAAATTTTCGTACTGATCTGCGCAATGTAAACAAACTGGCGCCATATTTGTTATCAGCATGGTGATTGGAGCGTGCCAAATTATTAGAAAGGTTTAGTAAAATTCTCAGAATTGAGCAAACAAAACGTTTATTAATGTTGCACGTGAATGTTTATGATCAAAAGAAGCTATAAAGAATAAGATAATCAAACAAATAATAACAGATACATACAAAGGCACAGTTTTAAAAAAATTAATAGGGAATGTGCTTTCCCTGTTTTGAAATTACTTGAAGAAGACGACGATCCATAGAAT